ACAGCTACATCATGTATAATGACTGAGTGAGGTATCACAGTTACATCATGTATAAATACCGAGTGAGGTATCAAAGCTACATCATGTATAATAACTGAGTGAGACATCACAGCTACATCCTGTATAATGTGAGCTATCACAGTTACATCATGTTTAATGACTGAGTGAGGTATCACAGCTATATCATGTATAATGTGAGCTATCACAGTTACATCATGTTAAATGACTGAGTGAGGTATCACAGCTACATCATGTATAGTGACTGAGTGAGGCATCACAGCTACAACATGTATAATGACTGAGTGAGGTATCACAGCTACACCATGTATAAAGTGAGGTATCACAGTTACATCATGTATAATTACTGAGTGAGGTATCACAGCTACATCATGTATAATGACTGAGTGAGGTATCACGGCTACACCATGTATAAAGTGAGTTATCACAGCTACACCATGTATAATGTGAGCTATCACAGTTACATGTTTAATGACTGAGTGAGGTATCACAGCTACATCATGTATAAAGTGAGGTATCACAGCTACACCATGTATAAAGTGAGGTATCACAGTTACGTCATGTATAGTGACTGAGTGAGGCATCACAGCTACATCATGTATAATGACTGAGTGAGGTATCACAGCTACACCATGTATAAAGTGAGTTATCACAGCTACACCATGTATAATGTGAGCTATCACAGTTACATGTTTAATGACTGAGTGAGGTATCACAGCTACATCATGTATAAAGTGAGGTATCACAGCTACACCATGTATAAAGTGAGGTATCACAGTTACGTCATGTATAATGACTGAGTGAGGTATCACAGTTACATCATGTATAATGACTGAGTGAGGTTTCACAGTTACATCATGTATAGTGACTGAGTGAGGCATCACAGCTACATCATGTATAATGACTGAGTGAGGTATCACAGCTACACCATGTATAAAGTGAGGTATCACAGCTACATCATGTATAATTACTGAGTGAGGTATCACAGCTACATCATGTATAGTGACTGAGTGAGGCATCACAGCTACAACATGTATAATGACTGAGTGAGGTATCACAGCTACACCATGTATAAAGTGAGGTATCACAGTTACATCATGTATAATTACTGAGTGAGGTATCACAGCTACATCATGTATAAAGTGAGGTATCACGGCTACACCATGTATAAAGTGAGTTATCACAGCTACACCATGTATAATGTGAGCTATCACAGTTACATGTTTAATGACTGAGTGAGGTATCACAGCTACATCATGTATAAAGTGAGGTATCACATCTACACCATGTATAAAGTGAGGTATCACAGCTACACCATGTATAAAGTAAGGTATCACAGTTACATCATGTATAATGACCAGGAGTCTAACTTTACTCAAACGGTACTAGTGGGTACTTTTGCCCTTTTAAGTACAATGGGTGCTCTTCCCGTGTCTTTGACGGAGCTTGCCCAGATATTCTGGGTGCTATGCCCAGGACAAAAAATAATCCTTAATTCCGACATCAAAACTCTGAAATGCTGAATACTCCTTTGCTGTTAATTACATAATACTAACATACAATACACATATGTGTGGGGTGGCTTACCCTAGAATATCCCTTATCTGAATTCAAAGTCCTAGACAATACATTAAATTTTGTACCAAACTGTGCATATTAATAACTTGTAACAAATGACAAATTTTGTTGTTTAGATTTTTGAAATTACGAAACCTCAGGACGTTTCCTACGAGCGGCACATCCTGCTCGAGGTCGTCCCTACACCAGCACTCAGAATACCAAGCTTGACTAACACTGTGTAATGGTAACGCATATACACACATATATAGTAATGAACAACAATGGACAGACCATGACGTTGCTCTGGACATGGGACTTCTGGGGGTGATGAACCAACACAGCTTAGGGGATGAACAGCTATGGCAATAAATGTCATACTATAAATAACAGTAATTAACGGGTTGTGATATAGTAGCCCAGGTTGGCTGACAGTCAATTGAAATGGTGTGAGGATTAACAATGGGGATTAGTGCCTAATACATAATGACAATTAAGTTATGAAGCCTTTTAAATCAAATGTTCTTCAGTCAATGGTTGTCGTAAATCAGTCGCAGTGACAACTGTATCACAGTTACATCATGTATAATGAGATCTAAAATGGATTCAAACATTGTTCCCATGTGCTCAACCACTAGGATACCCACCACCAAAACACTTGTGGTTACTGAACTTGATTATGTTGGTTATCTTATGGGGTCTAACAACACTTTGGAGACCTGAAGTCAGATTGTTGCACAATTACAGAGATCATTAGTAGTTACTTAAACCTTCCCAATATATATTACCTTGTGAGCTACAGTAACACAATTGTTTTTCATGCATCATAGTGTAGTTGAAAAAACAACATGGTAGCTGTACACATACTGTTTAGAAACATGCAGTGGGTATTCTTTCATACCCTGAAACCTTGTTAACATCACTGGGTTGTTCGAGCATATATTGGTTTCTAGAGAGCAGAGTACCTGTATTTGAGATGAAACTATTTGTTAAGTAGGAATCAAACAGTCTTATGCACCAACATGCACATACCATCAAAATATGAGCCTGACCAAGAAGTGTAAATCACACATGATGATGCCATGTGTCTATAATACAAATGGAACCATATGATCTATTTGGTGAAAATCTATATACAACTCATGTCTTTATTTTCCTGACAACTAATCAGCAGTAATGTTTAAACAAAGGGAGAATCAATAAGTGTTTGTCTCTTTATTAAAGCTAACTGATTAATGATCTATGATTAATTAAAATCATTCAAGTGATAGGTGAATGGATGTGCGTACCTGCTATACATTTTATTGCTCGATATTGCCATCACAACTACTCCCAAGGACGTGACATTGGGTACAATGCTCAATAGGGAGAACTTACTATGTATTTTGATGCATGGGATAATTTAAGTAAGTATGCTCAATAGTTTTCTTGTTGTCTGCTTAATCATGCTGTGAGAGATGGCAAACATGGGTGCAATACATGTGAACCTGTTTTACATTTCTGCCCTGTAAATAAAGATTTGTAATTTTTTATCTATTTGTTTTCTATTAAAGTACCGATGATCCTAACTTGAAATGTTCCATACGATTGATCTAGATGTCAACCAACTTTACAAATACATGCAGTAAAGCCCAGACACTTTGTCGTTTTCTGAATGGGAATATTCAAGGTGGTTACAATAGTTCAAAATTTGTGAAATTTTAGTATCTCATGGGCAATATCTTAACCATGTAACATGAAATCTGCAAGAAATGTATATTATATAATGTTTTACTGTCGTAATCTAACACAATAAATCTTTTACTCTTCCCTTTTATTTGTAAAGAGATGGTTATTGCCTCCTTAACAATTTAACTATTTTCTTCTAAACATCTGTTCCCATGTTTTCCCAACTTAATAGCTGAAAAAGGCTACCCCGGTATTTTGATCTTCATTTCGTTTATTCTCTGAGAAAGTAAGTTATTATCAATTTTTCTCTGGAAAGTGACAATGCAATTAGAACTGGTAATAATAATAAAACTGATATACATCATAAGCCAAACTCTATGAATAGTTTTAGAACACTGTTGCATCAACAATCTCAAGCAACTAAAGTAACACTATTTGCAAAATATTTCTGCCAAGAAATGTCTTTTCCTTTTCTTTTTTTTTCTACAAGAATGCAATGATTTTGAGCTCGAATAATTTTAAGGAGATAGGAGACTGCAAGAGGCTGGCTATGAGTGGGGACTGTGAGCTGCCTGTAAATTGATTCAAAGGCTCCTGTACAGTGTATGATTGTGTGCAGACGCGATGTTTACCCTCAGCTCCTAAAACAGGCACATTGGTCATGTGTGTCCTGCATATTTGACAACAAATAGAGACTTGTGTCTTGTTTGAACTTGTAGTATTGACAGAAGGACATTTGTCAGTGATGATCATCTAATAGGTCATCAGTCTTGCCTTGTCTAATGGACAATTATGAATGTCAGCAACAATCCAGTTCTGAAAGTTTGTTGTTGAGAACGCATCAATTATTTATTTATAAAAGTACATTGTCAGTGATCATTGTCTAATAGGTCATCAATCTTGCACTCTATTTCCTTTGTTTTAATGGACAATAGTGAATGTCAGCACAATACACTTTGCAAAGTATGTTGGTGAGAATCCATCAAAAATATATTCATGAATATGAAGTTAGCAAGATGTTTGAGAGAAGAGTTACACCAAGGCAAATATGAAATTAGCAGACTTGTTTCCTGTGAAGAAAACTGATGTATGAAGTGTGAGGTCAACACGTGTATGTGCCACATCACCTTCATGTATAATAATAGTTTTCCATTTTCCTGCTGATGACCTAAATTCAGTGTCTTTGTCAAATTTGGACTGTGGTTCAAGAATCTGAAAGTCTTTTAAGGTAACTTTGGTTCCTTAGCATTACACATCAGTACACTGCTTTCAGACAAATGCATGCCAACACAGCACTAAATTCAAAGTAAAACAAGTAATGTTGTTGTGTTTATTTCAACCAGATTTGTTAGAATACTAGTTTCAGAATTAAACAAACTTGAAGAACTAAATTCCTGCCAGAATGTCCGTAGTTTGTTATGAATCTCCATGCTAAAAGAGGAGCAAGAAGTTATCCATACTTTATTTTACAAGTGTTTGTAACATTTCTCTTTTACTATAGGCAAATTTACCCTTTGGAATGATAGCATGATTTAAGGAAACATATTCAAGACACATAAACACTTTTCTTAATGTATTTCCTTGAATGGATATAAAAAATGTGGACTGCCTTTATTCATATTTCAGTGCAACAAATTAAGTCCATTTTCAGAGAACAGACTTTAGCTCTCCTATTTCAATATATGCGAGTAGTGGAATATACATGACGGAATATTATGAAGTTGACACACTTTCATCTACTTCTTCCTTTCATTCAGATTGATGTCCTGGAAACCTTCAACCCACTTGGCCTTACCTCGGGACTTTTTGACTCTCTCAAATGCCAGACCAAGGGTAACAGGAGCATGTCTCAAGCCAAGAAAAGAGAAATAGAAAAGGTGACACTGGCAAACAAATATGTTACTACCTTTCCAGATTAATGTTTTCAGCAAAATCTTATCAATAAGTAAACATAATAAAAACATATGTGAAATTGATGCAGTTTGTATAAAAATAATACCCTGAGGATAGAGGACATATTGAATACTGTCACACTTGAGGCAACATGTATCAGCTTTGTAATGTGGGTGTAGCATACTAACTAATAATCATGTCAGTATAAGGCTTTAAACTTTGAATGCAGTGAAATGTTATGCTTATCAATGAAATTACTTTGTGATCAGATTGGCAGAGCTTGAAATTGTTCACAAACGCATTAAATCATGGGTTAATTTGTCTGCACTGGCCTAATGTCTATATACTGGTAGACAAGAGCTAATATGAACAAAGTTAACGAAACACAACTCTGACTGGAAAAATTCTTCAGAAAATATGAGAAACTGAAATGAAATCTTATCTCAACCAATGTGGCTTAATCCCCAATTTAAAAATGTCTATTGGACTGAAAACCTTTATACATTTCTACTAATAAAGATATATGTAATAAGAAAGTTTCATGCACTTTGAGAACCTCAAGGGTAAATGTAACATACAAGGTACAATTTTGCACTATACTCAGATAATTCTTTACATTCCAAAATTTTGGAAGGATCCTTTTAAAAACGATGACAGCCTTGGAGTCTACAATCTGTTCTTGTATGAACCCCTTGAGGAATTCTTGGAACCGACAAAGGCAGTAAGATTTTATTATCATCAACTTATTTCATATGTAAAGTCTATTTCGGTTGATTATGAATAGGCAGGCAATGTTTGACAGAAATCTCTTGGAAGGAGGTTTTACTCAATATATGGTGCAGGCACACCAGTAGGGAACCAATGATTGTGGGTTCAAATTCCTGTTCACCCTAATTATGTTTCTAAGTTTGTCAGCACCATGGTCGTGCTCGAGGGTTTCAACCATTATGGTAAATGTCTGAGACCTACTTCACTTTGGGCTTTCCTCCCACATCATGCTTACACGCCGTAATATAGCTGGAATACTGTTCGGGGAGGCGCTAAACCCAACTCACTCTCTCAATATAGAACATGTACTAAAGATGTAAAGCTACTTGACTTTCTGGTTCTTGTATAAAATTGTTCAGAAAAATGGGAAATGTTTAAGATTCATTTAGTTGATAATGACATGTGCATTCTGTGAGGAGGAACAAGAGTACCTACCACACATATTTTGGGAATGTAATTTTGTTACCAATTTGTGACTTGGACACATTTCTTATGCTCTTGTCATTGACAATGTACATTTCACAAATTTATGAATATTTAATACCATTTGGATACAACACCAGTAAGGTAAAACTTAATCATGAAGTACCAGCTTGGAAGAGACACATCCATATGTGTAGCATTGAGGGCAACTTCAAAGGATTCTCGAAAACATTAACAGATATGATCAACATTGGTCATGTACTTCAGTACAGAAGAGAATGAGTAATGACTGGAGGTACTATCGTAATAGTCACTCTTGATGAACCCTTGATACGGGGGGTGGTCAAAACGTTCTAAGCCTGACTAACCTTCAACTAAGGGCCATAACAAAGTGAACTAGTCAATGTAGTTCATTGCAAGTGTATTTGGTCTGTTGAGGCCATTTTTATATTTGTGACAGCCAGTTGAACGTGATAGGGGACTAAACGACACAGAAATGGAAAAGAAAGAGTATGAGCAGTCATCAAGTTTTTGACTTAAAAGAAAAGTACACCCCAAGAAATTCATGAGCGCATGTCACAAGTGTGTGGGGATAAGTGCCCAAGCTATTCCACTGTTAAACGTTTGGCAGCTATGTTAAACGTTGAGGAGCCATGTTTAAGGCTTGGAGAACAAGCCTTGATGATGACCCAATGTCTGGACATCCCTCAACTTCAATCAATGAAGTTTCAATCAAGGAGATAGAAAAACGTATCCTGGCAGATAGACATATTACCATTGTTGAACTTGCGGAAGACACAGGTCAAAGCCATGGATCCATTGAAACTATTATTCATGAACATTTACAGATGAACAGATATCTGCTCGTTGTGTGCCAAAGATTCTAAATGCTGATCTTAAGGAAAAAAGAACTGACATTGCCAGAGAAAATTTAGAGCTAATTGTGGGGGTTTCGTCAAATTCCAAAAGAGATTAGTTAAGGGTGATGAAACATTGGTCTACCACTATGATCCCTTGTCAAAATGTCAATCCATGGAATGGCACAATTCCACTTCTTCGGCACCAAAGAAATTCAAGTCTTCAAGATCAGTGAAGAAAGTTATGGCTATTGTATTCGGGGATGCAAAGGGTGTGATCCTCGTTGATTACTTAGGAAGTCAAAAGACTACCTGTGCCTACTATGTTGAGTTGCTTCATCGCACGAGAGATTCTATTAAAGAAAAGTGGCGAGGAATGCTGACTGCTGGAGTTCATGACTTCATGACAATGCCTATTCTCACAAATCTCTACTTGCAAAGAGCTTCCTCACCCTCCATACTAGCCAGACCTGGCACCAAGTGATTTCCACCTGTTTCCTAAACTGAAAGAACACCTTCGTTGAACTCAAAGCTGCCATGAATGGGTTTTTCAGGGTGGTTTCAGAAAATGTTTGAAACGCTTCACTGTTGATATGAGAAGTGTATTGAAAAGCAGGGAGATTATGTTGAAAAATAAAATTAAAAACACTTTCATAATTGTTGGTATTTGTTTGTTAGGCTCGTTATCCATGAACAACCTCTTTGTTAATGGGGACAATGTTGAATCACCTGCATGTTCAGTGAGAATATGATACGAGTTAAGAGACAAGAGAATCTAGACAAAAGCCTGTTTGTAACTGTTGAATATATGCTGTACCTTGGCATTCTCGGCGGATGCATTGTATCTCGGCACATCAAACCATCTTGTGAATACTGATGTATTTTTCATATGCATATAATATATACATATGAATATATTATAATGAAGATGTTGGAAAGACTTTGCATTCATGTGGAAACAAAAATGACAATATGAGAACAACAAAAAACAAAACAATGTATCTAGTTGCTAGCTAGGCTATGATAAGCTATATATGCTTGAAAATTAGAGCATCGTTTACCTGAACAACATTGCCTTGTTACATGCAGCCAATTTTCAAATATTGCAAAAAACATCAATTTGAAAACATGTTCATAAATCTTCTTCGCAAAAAAAGAGAAATGACATTTACCATATGTACCCTTTACAATGGGATTTAAAGCATTTAAGTTCTTTTTAACTTGAAACAATGGACATGTTTATCATCGCATTGTTCAGTATTGATGCCATACAAACCTCCCGTATTAAACATACCATTTTACACAGTCAAATAACCAAAAACCCCATTTAATCCCTTTATAACTGCCACATTCTCCAGACTTGATGTCATTGTATACAACTTTCATCTCATGCAGAATGTGCCTTAGGAGCAACAGAGCCTTTACACATATTGCTTCTCATTGCGTGTAAAGTAGTGTTGCTGCTGCTGACCTTAAGCAATCTTTCCTAGTTTTGTGATCTCTTCCACAGACTCGCACTGATCTCTACTCTTGAAAAAAAGCTAGTTACGCCAGATCAATTTGTATCCTTGTGTCCTTGTTTTACGGCTATGTCGTAAGTAAAAATTTTAACAGTGATACTTTGACTAAATCAACTGTATGCTTATTTCAAACCTCTTGTTTTATTTCAAGAACTTTCTTTTTATTTTAGAAAGAAATGAAATAACTATCGTAATTTAATAATCAACATGCACTTTTAAAACAATAACCTGAAATCTGAGATTTTTAAATCTACTTTGAATTTCTTCTTTGTAGTTGACCTCAAATCAACACTAACATTTATCTTTTTTGGTTTCCTTACATCTTGGCTTTTGACCTGTAAATTGGCAATAACATGACAAAGAAGACATGGATAAAACCTCAAGAAATAGGGATTCCATTCCTTTGAAATGAAGTCCTTCATCTATGTAATAAATGTGCTGAATATTTGCGGAGCATTTTAGCACACCTGAACTGAAAGTTCTTGAAACTGTACAGCTATCTGTCTGATGTAAACCCTTACATCTCTTCTAAAAACCACAGGGCTGTGTAGCTAAAACTTTGCAATCATGAACCCCCTTATGGTGTCCTTAAAAACTGGATTCTGATTTGAACTGGTCCCTACTACTGTCACATATGCAATGTCAATGTGGCTTCAGCAAGGCAATGATTAATTGTATACTCATGAAATTTGACATGTCTTGACATGCTGGTAAAGGTCAAGGTAAATTTATTGAAAGCTCATTTTTGTTTCGTCCATCTGTTAAGATTCAATTTCTTTTCTGACCAGCTAAAGGGATGTTTTTAGACTTAAGCAGAATGGCTTGCAACATGAAAGCACTCAGATTTGCTCATGGCATTTGGATAAGAAAACAGTTTGTTTAAACAAGAAGGAAAAACAATCATATTTTGAAGAAGAAAAAACAAGGACGATAGGGATGTGAAACATTCATATTATGTGTAACAGAGTGGGATTCAGATTTGTTACGCCAGTAAAATAAAAATAATATTAAAAAATAGAAAGAATCGCTAAAAATTCAAACTTTAAAAATGTTTTAGAATTCATTTGTCACAAAACTACAAGTCCCAGAGAGCTGACACTTTATGTGGATAGTGTAGGACAAAAATATGACTTAGATTTGTTAATCAAACAAACAGTTCAGTTATGTATTTTTAATGGTAAAATATCCTCACATATTCTTGGAAATTTTAGACCTCATTATCTCAGAAACCAAATGTTCGGTTAGCTGATATTCCTCTAGGATTTGTTGCATTTCAATGGATTCAATTTGATTACAATCAGATTTAATCATAGCATTTAGACTGAGAGTAGATGATGATTATTAATTTCTCTTAGCATCGTCCTCTGCAATCAACTTTGGTCATTGTTGACAATGTAGCAATAATGCCTTAAATTTCAATAACTGCCATACAACATGCAGCCATACATTTACATGAATGTTTGTTAGCATAATGATATTCTTTATAGTGAATACTAAATGGAGATAATATTGTTATGTCATATCAAACACAACAAACAGCAACGCCATACTTTCCTTAGTTGTTGGTTAAAGTTATGACTACATATAGCATTCCGCTTACTTTGAATGTACCTGGTGAGTGACTTTGAAGTACTTTTTTTTTGTACCTTTGACCTTTGCAAAGCCCTGTATATGCAGTTGCATGCATATTAGACATCTATGAAATTAAAAGTCGCCAGAAGCTATTACTCAAGGCTCCAGATAATGTTTCAGCATCAGGAGTACGTACTCCTTATTATTTCAATATAGGAGTACTGGCCAACCTACAGAGTACACTTTTAACAGTCAAAGTATATCATTTATGATATGTGTATCCATTCTCTGTCAACTAGAGTTCGTTTCTAGGCGTCAATAATGGTTACCTGACCATGATTTTCTGTAAATAACGGTGTGTTGTGCGATCAGCCAATCACTTCACAATATTGAATGAAATATTGAAGAAAATTCCAGATATACAATGAACACTTTTTGTAAGCCAGACAGTGTAATTACATGATTAAATTGGGTACTTCAGTACGGATTTGTTGACATGTATTTCTGGTGTTACGTGCTCACGGTAATCTCTTGTGTTGGGGAAAACAACTTCAAAACTCACTATGGCCTGTATAATGCGCAACTCCCTCTACACAGCTGCGTTCTTTTTGAAAATGTGCGCACTATTCTCAGAAAATAAGCTGCTTGAAAACAGAATATTATTTTGGGAAATACGTCTTTAATGTTATACCGTACATGTATGCTGTGATGCATATCTGATACGTTTTCGAAGTTATCCCCCAGCGTATCATGCATATTTTCATCTGTACATATGCTGATACCGCCCTTATCTGGAGCCCTGAATAACATATCTTGGAAGATCTCAGAAATGAATTGTGATGTCTCAAAAATTGCAGAGGTTTGATCTGATGCTATATGGAGGGTCGCTATGAATGTCTACATGTATTGTTGGGAAGTTACATGCGTTTAGGATTTTTGGTGTGTGTAAACTTGTATCTTTTAGTATTGTTAATTTCCAGTCTCTATATTTATGATATATTTTCAAGTTTTCAAGAAAAATCAGGTGAGCTACAGAGTTTTGTTGCTGTATCTTTTCTAGTAAGAACTCATGATTTCAAAGGTAAATGAATCACTAAATATCTATTGCAAACTGTTGCCACATTTCTAGCAGAACTATTACTGTTATATCACAGTCTAAATGGCCTTTCAACATATCTGTGCAGGAAACCTTCACATCAGGGTGCTCAGGCCCACCTGTAAACAAGGTGCGTGGAGTGATCACAGCGACCCCCTTCCCTCAGGTACCATCTGCCATCTACACAGCACACAGCACGCAACAACAACAACAGAAACAACACAGGCAACATCGCACAAAGAAACCCCTCACATCATTCCTAACTGAGCTGGAGTGATAGCTCTCTGATTGTAAATACCCATGGATAAATGTTGTGAAACTCTTGATATTATATAACCCTAGGTGCGTGGAGTGATCATAGCGACTCAAATCAGTCTGTAATAAATATCTCATCTTGAAATGTTGTTTGTTTATAAAGTGAAGTGTATCTCTTCTCAGAAACTAAAAGACACTGCAATGAGACATGGAGCAGTGTAATAAGGTTCAGGTTGGATGGCATATTTTTGAATAATTAAACTTAGTTTCTTATTAAAATTGAATATAATTAAATTATATAAGGTATCACATTGAACAAGATGAAACTGTATGCAGATTATAAGTATTTAGGCATCATCATCTATATTCATCTTTAATCATTATTGATGATGTTGCTAAAATAGAACATGAAACATCATGAGTTGCTGCTTTACCAGAAGTGGTGACTCTATGCACGAATGTATGTTACTGACATGGTATTCCTAAATAAAGATTAAATATTATTATAATCAGATGATACTGTTCTCTCATATGGACCATGCCACATTTCACAACCAGTTAACAACAACAATGTCATTACTTTGTGTCTAAAGAATTAGTTTAGCAATATTTCAGTTTGAATGTACCTAGGAGCAAAAGTATGTTGGTGCAAAAAATATTGTTCATATTTTACAGAGAGAAACAGATGAATTGATTTTATTTTGCATATTTCAAACCTTTCTTTTTAATTCTTTCATTGGTATTTGATTTCAGTGGCCTATTTGTAGAAGTTTTAAACAAAAAAAACCCTTGAATCATCTGCAGTTATCCCCATGGCAACCTACATTCTTCTATTCTCTCTATATATATGTACTCCCTGTCCATAAATTTATGGACCAAATCAACCCTGACAACATTTTACTCCTATTATTTTGATTCATGCATCCAGGAGCTTTGGGTAACCAAGTGGTTAACGTGTTTGCTTGTAATGCTGAAAACCTGGGTTTAACTCCCCATGTGGGTAAAATATATGTAGAGCACATTCTTAGTGTTGATTGTCATGATGTGGATGTATTATTACTAGCAAAACCCCCAACTCATTAATTCACTTACATAAAGGAAGAGAAAAAACAACTTTCTAAATGATACATGTGTCTTTTTAAGCAATGGTCACATTGACTACACAGAAAAGGTTATATGTCTCAGGAAACCATTTGAAAAGAAGTTTATTTTTTTATAGGTCATGTATCAGCAGATATACGACACCAAATTCTCTTATGTATAACAACAAGCTATATGGCTGCTACTTGAGATCTCTATCATAACAGATTATGACTGCAACTCTGGATTCACTGATAGGCATGTGCAGGGCATATGACAAGTGTTTCTATTACCTAACTGGCATATCTTGTCATATGTGATTATGAGATTGACGGCCTGCAGGTCCTCATCTGTTTTCTTGTTCTGACTGACAGAGTTAAGGACTGATATTGATAGAACAAATCCTAGTCGACGAGCCTATGGCCTGTAAAAAGTCACAAGTCACGTTGTTGCAATTACACACCTGACAGCTTGTAGCTGAATGCAGTTAGTTATAACATCTAAGGCAAAATTAATAGCACGACTGATTGGAACTGTTCAAGCGACAATTCCACCAACATCAACAATGACCAGAAAAGCGGATTGCAGCATCTTTGTGTGATTAATATAAAGCTTACAGATGTAATCTCATTTACAGAAAAAAGACTTGTGAGTGGCCATTCCTTGTATCAAAGAGACTTAGTAACCTTGATGTGCTCACTCTAATCAATTTGACATCATTTAAGCTCATTTCATCCTACGTCAGTATAAGTCATGGATTTGTGGTTGGTCATACCGCTGACCTCAACCCCTCTTGTTGTCTCTTCAGAATTGGATTAATAGCCGATTGAACACTCGATTTACGCAGAGCTCAGCCTCATAAGAAGACCAGATATGTGGCAGTTTTATTACTTCCTATACAATTATTTCAGTGGAGATAAATGTTTTCTATTGTATCTTGCACTTGTGATTCTGCACCAAAGCATTCCTTTATTGAAAGATAATGAACGGCATGTGGTGAGCAGGAATAAGCCTAACGATTGAACAGATGACTTATTGCTTCACTAAAGTAAACCATCTTAGATACATATAATCCGTCATGGCACTCCAATTATTTATACATGAGGACTGGCCTTTACTGCTGGACCGATGAAACTTTAACTTAACATTCGTGTTCACAGCAAGCATTACCCCAAAGTGTGTTTTATCCTATTTGGTGAAGCAACCACGAGGTGACTTTGAAAATATTCGTCAGCTCACCAAGACAACATGTCTTATGTCTGAAAGCTGGTAACTGAGTTGACTTTACTGAAGCCCAACAGGTTTATTCTTCATTTTTTACATGTGTTCTTGCTTCCCAATGTAATAAATTAATTGCAAGCGATTCCGTGGCATTTGAAAAAAATAGGCCACGCCGACTAGCAAACTGATTTGATGAAATAAAATGGATGCCTTGTGTTACAGCGCTGTCGTTATCACTGATTTCGTCCTGTTGTCTACTGTTTTTTTGGTATGTTAATAACTAGATAAGCAATCTAGGAAGTTATTCTTGTCGACATATTCATTTCTAGGAACATACTCCAATGCGTGTTTGTTTGTTTTTTGAGTAATAAACGTAAAGACAGGTGTGCAAGCTGTAAAGCCGCTACACGATATATTTACACTTTTGTCACACCGGTGTTTACTTGTATACCTCCATAATTGCAAAAGAATATTTAAGTGAGTTCTTCAATAAATCAGCCTCACTTCTATAATTTGATAATAGATGTTTGTTCGTAATTTAACGCCTCACTCAGCTATATAACAGGGGTCTGTAAATAATCGTCTGTTGACCAGACAATCCAGTGATTGACACCTTGAACATCGATCTACGCAAATGAGAAAAGATGACATGCACCATCCAAGTTCGCGAGTCTGACCACCCTATACCGTAAGCGCGTGATATTAACTCCAGCTTATAACGCTAATTGTATTATGTCTCGGAGAGGACGTTTTCCTTCCTTGTATGTGCATGTGAAACTGTTGACTACATGTTGTACACATCAAACCTTTATTGTAACTATACAGTCTGACAATGTTGGCTTATTCGAAATATACAACTGATTATTGTTGATCGGTTAATATGTGATTCTGACCCGACCTATTAGAGTAGCATCGTTAGCTTTGGTCGTAGCAGTTTATTTACATGGATGAAGCAATAGCGCCCCTAAACGTGAGAATGCGATCTTTGAATAGAAAGTGACCACCCTCTTTCCAGGAACATGGTATCACCTCGGTGAAAACCTACTGTCACAGGCAAACAGAGCTTTGATGTTCACTCTTACCCCGACCAGAAATGTGTACCTGAAGTCATGTTTTAAACGTTGTATTTTCTAAAAACTAGCGTCGACTGTTTTGACGGGAGAAGTCATGGACATATTGTTTGACAAACGACTGTGCAACGATACTAATCTCTGTGCTTGAGAACACAATGTTTGAATGTCAAACGAATAATCTGTCAGAGAGGCAAAGCAAGCGACAACGTCTGATCTGAAGGGTTTATCGTGTCTTCAATTCGTTTTCATAAATGCGTAATTAAAACCAGTCCCCTAAACCCATTATCAACGGGACCGCTTCCATGGTCTAGTGGTAGAGCGTCCGCCCGGAGAGCGGAAGGTTTTGGGTTTCGATCGCCGGTCGCGTCATACCAAAAGACGTTAAACGACGGTACTTGTTATTACCCTGCCTGGCGCTCAGCATTAAGGGGCTAAAACAAGGACTGGTCGGCTCGGAGTCGGTATACTGCGTCTGAGTGGGGTATTTAAGATAACCTGCGGCACACCCTAGTGGGTTAGCACTATAAAATCTGCATTAAATCAGGGCTAGTACAACCTGTCAGACACACTCACACACTGCATGAATATGACATTTTTCACACTTCGCTACTTCCGGTTTGATAGCGAGGCACGGAGAGCAGAAGGTGAAGGCTGGATAGCACATGATACACATGGAGATGTCTACAAGGCACGCAATCGGGACAAACTGTGTCAATTTAACCATTCCGGTACTATCACGGCAACATTTATCGTAAGTACTGAACATTATTTCATATTCTTATCATTGACAAACTATTCTACTGTTATTTGGTCTCTTTACTGATATAAATTTAGCAAGTGAGTCTGGCCGATCTGTTGTGATTTCAATTTCAATTATCCACGACCACCTGGTAACTCCCGGTGCAGTTTATGGTAGCTGAACAGACAATACAAGTCCAACTGGCAGGGATAATTCTAGGGTTTGGCCTTCTGGTTTTAGCCCCTAAATTTGAAAAAGGCCCACATTTTCGAATACAATGCGGCATTTTAACATTGTGCTGTATGGGCGTACCTCTAGAATACTTGAAATTTTCACATAAAGGGCCCATGTAAAAGAATTCCTTGAGTGAATCCTGCTACTGGGATAGTGTAAAGAATAAGTCATTGTTTACACCATTAACGCAAACTACTTATTTATGTGTTTTAGTCAAGGTGTTAGTTTGAATACTTTTGAGAGTTGTATTTGAAGTCGAGTAGAAAATATGATCTTTTGACCATATCTAGAGAGATGTCAGAAACTAACTAAATTGGTGTGTTGGTTTTCTTTATCTTGTTACAATCCATTGAGAATTTACAATCATAAACAAATTGGAATTTTGCATCAGTTGTGTATTTGATGTAAATTTTAATGGACTCAAATACATTCCAATAAAGTATTAGACCTCTTGATCTACTAGTGCTGCTGTGATTGTGAACTGTAGTTATTTTAATAGTCAATTTTGACAGATTAGATAGCATGAGGTGTAATATTTCATAAAGGGTGTGTAAATATTTAAAGTGAAGTACAGTTTGATCTGCAATTTTGTAAACAATATTTCTACCAAAATGATATTTATTTTTCTGTACCAAATTAACCATGTCATGAAATGAACAAAAACCCAACTTATTAATGGCCAGTAAATGTTCAATCTACGTGTGATCTTTATATAATGTACAGAAAGAGATAACTCTTTAACTGTCTGTATTCAAATATTGCAAATTCATGATTAAATACAAATACAAATATCAAATCCTGTTCCATTAAAACAAGAGTGAATTTCTGTGTGATATTGATATAAAGAACTATAGTACACTCTGTCATTAAATTGATGCATCTGTTGTGTTTACACAGAATATACTATTTGAGTTTTAGACATATCAGATGAATTGATACCTTCAAGATTGTTCTAAAGTAGCATGTAATGTTACTCACTGTGATTAATTTTCCTAAAATTTCTCTATTTCAGAAAAAAATGTTTTCTGAGTAATATCTTTAGGGAAGGTGAATATGCATTGTTTCTAAAAAAATCAAAGACATAGAAATATTATTGCAATATTAATATCATTGAATTATTTATTTCAGGCTTTGAGTCCAGAGAGTCAGCACAATAAAGTATCCAGTAATGGATGTCTGAAGGCGCATTTTGCTGACAGTAACACACTAGTTTACAATGTGCTTCCTGTCACATTTCACTTAAATAGGACAAGGAAGTGAAAAGCCTTATTCACTCACTCAACAACATGGCCAATATTTATCAGATTCATGATGTTTGAATAAAGCTATTCTAAGAAAACACATTGTACCATTTGTTTTCAAGCAAGAAAATTATTTTCTCCTGGAATATAATTAGGTGCTTTTGACTGACAAAGACACCCGGGTCATGTTAAATTTTGAAAAGTCTGAATAACGTTTACTGAAGTTGAAGATAAACAAGCTTATATAATTATAAATAAATTATTTGTCTTTGTTAAGAATTAGAAATTTCAATACTTCCTTCGAAACTCGGATTTTCTCTTCATGAAATTTGATAATCTACATGTATGATATGGTATATAATCAGTTTGGGATAATTCATAAACATGTAATATTTACATATATCCAGCTTTCAAGATAGAGTGTAAATAGACTGTAAATATATATTTATATATTTATTTTTGAAACATGAAAAGAATATTTTGTTTGGTCATAAGTATTATCAAATGATACATTTATCTGCATGAACTTCATTATTTAGACGAGACACTTACCGGTACATTTGAAAACCTGTTTCACTAACTCTTATCCCGGACGTTGCATATTTAATTTAATATTCCACAATACTTGTGTAATTTTGTTTAGTAGATTTGGTGTATGAATAGTTTGGTAGCCAGTGGTTTCATGATCAGTGTCAAAGAAAGAATATATGTACAAAAGTTTGAAAGAAGACAAGTTAAATATATTCTTGTCATTCTAGACTGAACTGTAACAAAATCTACCTACAGACCCAGATTGCAACCTTAATCATTTGATTAATCTACTGACATGGTTTCTATTGTCATTCTGAAATCAAACAAATAATTAATTATTGTCCTGCTATGACTAAAAGGAACAACACACTTATATTTGGATTTCAATTTGATGTCATAAATGACACATCACATATTTTCACCTCTTTAAAGTTATTGATATATGCTGATTAATTTCCTATTTTTATTTTGTCTCATTCCATCAACATAATTCGTACCGGTTAATTTATTTTATCTTGGTTTGATTACCAATTGAAATTGATTCCTTTTCATCTTTTGTTATTTTATCTGTACCCTTCTGTGATCAAGACATTTTCATACTATTCAGGATAATTGTATTAGTAGCCTCGTTTTGGTATATAATTCCCTATCATCATATAGGACAAGTCAGGGTGTTCAAGAAATTGATGTTTGTATCAATTCTAATATTTCTTATATTTCATGCAATATTAATATTTATCAACATTTAATTTTACGTTTCTTTTGAACTTATTTTAAACATTTCACACTTTTTTACTTTTGTCGTGCACGGTGCAATCTTAATCGCCAATAATCGGTGAAATAAGTGATGTTTGAAGAAAAAATAAAGTTTTATCTGTCATTGTACACACTGAATAGAGTTATCGCCCCTTCTGAATATTCTTTTTGACACATGAGTTATTTTGTGAATATATTATATATTCACTACCGAGGAGATAATTGCAATACTTCTCACTGTAAAATATTTTTTGATATATCTCTTCTTCTTTTCATTATCTATTAATAGAATTATTTCGTTTGTTATTATATTTGGCTGTATTACCTTGTACACAGCATGTGTTAACCCCCGTAATAACACTCTGGTTTTTCAAACACAGCTATTTCCCTGTTAGTATGATTATTTGGAGCTGCTCGTTAGGTTTGTTTTTTATACCCAAGCTTCTCTAATGTTATTGTAACATTATATTTACTGCATTCAAAAAGAGCGCGACCCTATCCAAAGTGGTTTAATCATATTATACCAGGTTTTCGTGGAAGAAATGGGTTTGTCAGTTAAGTTGACTGATGCCCGTTAACAGTTGTTTTCAAAGGGTCATTTTTTTACGCTGAAATATATAGTTTTTCGGACATTAGTCTTGCTCATA